CCTTGAGGTCTTCGACATTAATCGACGTCAGTTTTACGTCTTCGGGAAGTTATTTGAACGGCAAGCACGAGACGTCGAGACAGTATCCTGAGCAACACCTTGACGTCATCGGCATTATTTGACGTCAGGTTATTTATTTATTTGTTTATTTATTTATTTGGTACCTACATCGTCCGATGGGTGTTACAGTAGGGGGGGGGGGGGGGGGCACGAAAGAAATTTACAAAAGCAAACGTACAGCAGAACAGCAACATCAAATAACCTGGCCCCACCAAGCAGGAGAAACCTATATACTGCAATAATATAAGAAAATGAATACCAGCAAAATAACCATGTCAAACAGGAGAAACATGCCAATATATACTGCAATAATATGAAACAAAAAATGAGTAACAGCGTGCAGAAGTCACACATCGAACCGACTACAATAACATAATTTCATCAAAAAATTATTGTACAGTAGGAAGCTCTACAAGTGAGTCGGGCAGCACATTCCAGTCATTAACTTTCCGCGGAAAAAAAAAGAATATTTTAGAACGTCGGTCCGTGCGCGAAATTCTCGGATCTTTTTTTGATTACTAGTTCTAAGCGAAACGCAATGAGGTTCCAATAGGTATATCGACTTATCTATACCGACGCTACAGTGACAAAGATTATACATAAACTTGAGACGGCGGCACTTTTCGTCTTAGTTGTAAAGGATTCCATCCGAGTTGAAGCTTTAATTGAGAGAAACTGTCATAAAAATTATAGTTATTTAGCACTTATCTAGCGGCGTGGTTTTGAATTCTTTCAATTTGATTTATACATGTTTGCGTGTGTGGGTCCCAAAGAATACAAGCATAGTCCAGGATCGGGAGGACGTAATATAAGTAGAGAGTTTCTTTCAAATGAGCCGGCACTTTTCTAAAATTGCGACGCAAAAAAAAATGGAGCATGCCGCTGGCCTTAGAACATAAGAACTTCAGATGATTATTTCATCTTAAATCAGTGGTTAGGCGTACCCCGAGATAAACTGCCTCAGTGCTAAGCTGCAAAGAAAGATTGTTTAGTTTAAAAACGGCAGAGACAATTTTACGTTTTCTAGTGAATCGAACGTGGACGCATTTGGATACATTAAGGAACATTTTCCACTTGTCACACCACTCTGTGATCTTATTTAAATCACCCTTTAGGGCCTGGACGTCGGTGTCATCGATCGGTTCTCTGTATAAAACGCAATCGTCAGCATACAACCTTATATTCGATGAAATTCCGTGCGTGATATCATGAATGAAAACTAGAAAAAGGAGGGGGCCTAAAACAGAGCCTTGTGGTACACCTGACATTACCTCTACATATGATGAATGAAATCCATTCATGATGACGCGCTGTTTCCTAGCATTAAGATAATCTGCTATCCATTGCAAAACTTTTACATTGATGTTTAGGCTATGTAATTTCTGAAGCAAGAGCCAGTGGTTAACCACCGTCAAAAGCTCTCCTGAAATCTAGAAAAATGCAATCAGCTTGGCAGCATCTCTCAAATGCACAAGCAAGGTCATGATAAAATTCTAGGAGCTGAGTGTTACATGATAACCCTGTGCGAAAACCCTGTTGAGCCGAGGAAAAGAAATTGTTCATATTTAAATGACTAATAAGATTAGAATAGATTATATGTTCCATTATCTTACAACATTCACTCGTTAGAGAAATCGGCCTATAGTTTTCGACACTATTTTTTTTTACCGTTCTTGTGTATTGGGACCACATTATCAAACTTCCAATCATCAGGTAGATGTCCACTCTCTAGCGACTTCGTAAATATCATTAATAAGTATGATGCTATAATGTCGGCGCAGAATTTCAATACGATATTTGGAATTCCATCTGGCCCAGGTGCTTTTCCAAGTTTTATATTGCCTAGTAATTTTCTTATGCCATTGTGATCGAACGCGAGTTCGTTCATTTTACCGCTCATATTATCAACCGTCGGCGGTAGTGATGAAGGTGCGGAAGTTGAAAACACTGATTTGAAGTGTTTATTGAAAGCGGGCGCTGCCTTGACGCTATCGTCTGTCACTAGATTATCATCAACCAGGAGAGAGGGGACACCAGCCACATCCTTTCGTTGCGATTTTACACACTTCCAAAGTTTTTTGGGACAGTCCTTAAGTTTGCTATCAAGCAAGAGAAAATATTCTGACTCAGCTTTTTTTTATTTTTACTTTGAGATCTTTTTGAAGATTTTTGAGCTGGCCCAATATCAGTGAATCGTTACTTTTTTTTATATCGTGCAAAAACACGTTTATTTTTATTTACTGAAAGTCTGATTTCTGAATTCATCCATGGCTTATCTTGTTTGCGCTTCGCGCTGACCATCTTTGTTGTTACATAAATTTCTACAAATTATTGTATTTTATTTTTAAATATGTTCCATAAGGTATTCACATCACACATGACACGCTGTACACCTCGAAATCAGACAAAAAATTCATAAGGTCAAAACCTAAACGATCATAATCCCCTCTATTGAACATGTACGCCTTTTTGGGTGGGTTTCTATATCTTGGCACATTCAAACATTTTATAGTCGCTACTACTGCCTCATGATCACTTATTCCGGGGACTACTGAAGCGGAGGTGATCGATGGAAACCTATCACAAAGAAGAATATCCAAAACACTTGCACGACTGACGCCAAGCCTTGTGGGTTCAGTAACAAACGGATACAAATGCAATTCATTAATAATGTCGGAAAATGTCGCGTAGAGCGATAACGAAAGAAGCGGTTTTCTCTGGGAAGTTCTTTGAACGTTTTCTCTGGGAAGTTCTTTGAACGTTTTCTCTGGGAAGTTCTTTGAGCGTTTTCTCTGGGAAGTTCTTTGAACGTTTTCTCTGGGAAGTTCTTTGAACGTTTTCTTCTCTACGGGGTCTGGGTCCGGCGGCGCGAAGGGAACGAAGATCCCTGGGTTGGAGCGGACTTCCGTGTGTTCGCTCGCCCAGGCGTGTGCGGCCTCGTTACCGATGCCGCCCGTGTGTCCCGGGACCCAGTCCACTCTCACCTCAATACCTTTGGTGTTTTTCAAATACGAGCACAGACTCTTGATTCGCTGGCAGAGCATCCCTTCGCGAGGAGTTTTCCCCTGACGGGCAAGGGCTTCCCTACAATCCGTGAAGATGGTTACGCGGGTAGGTACGTATGCTTTTGTGAACGTAGCTTCGAGCAGCGAGGCCAGATCCGGTTGACTCCATTGTTCCACAGTGACCCAGGTTGAGGCTGTTATCAATTGTCTTGATATCCCGTTCAGTCTAGACGTATGCTCGACGTTTTATGGTCGTTAAGTGGGACGTTATTTCAACGTTAACATGACGTTATCACAGACGTGCGCTCGACATTTAATGCCGTTAAATGGGACGTTATGTTATCGTTAATATGACGCTCTCAATTGACAGCCCGTTCAGTTTAGACGTATACTCGACGTTTTATGGTCGTTTTATGAGACATTGTGTCAACGTTGACAGAACTTTATCACGTCACTTCCCGTCCAATTCAGACGTGCACTCAACGTACTACGGTCGTTAAGTGGGGCGTTATGTCGACGCAAAATCCACCTTTTTTTTTTTTTTTTTTTTTTTTTTAGGCATTAGCCTTTACATATTACGTCGAAGGGACCTGACGTTCAGACTTTCGACGTTCTTTCGACATGCGGTTCTGACGTCATCACGTTCTTTCGACGTCTTTTCAACCTGTCTGTGCTGCCTGGGTTTATGATATTCAATTCATTGTTTTCCGTATAAACATTTATTTGACGGGAATTACGGATATAGCGACTACGGCGCTAAACAGCGCGTTCAGTGGGCGCATTAAAGAACGGCCAAAACATTTGATTTAGGCGATGTGACTGGATAAAAGGACCTCTTTTAGCTAATTTGTTTTAAACATATCACTTTCTATCATGCACCAATGATCCCGGAACGTCTTGTACAGCGGCTGCATGGAATAGAACTGCAATTATTTTTCTTTACTTTTGTCGCTTGCAAATAAAGCATTCTAGTATGACTGAAGAGGAAACAAATTACGCAGTGCGGAAGTACGTTGAAAACTGCTTGTATTGCATTTCTAATTATTTCTAAGATATTTTGCAGCGAAAATAACTTGGGTAGTACTTCAAATACTCTATGAAGCCTGGATGCAGTAACTTTTCTGAAATGCGTTTGTCGGGCATTTGGTCAACAAAATAAGTCTCACCATTTCCCGCATCAGTTGACAGCTAATACCATGATTATTCGGAGGGCAAACCACACCAGGTATGAGGGCGAGCTACACCGGGTATTTCCCATAAGCGAAACAAAACAAAGTTTGCTCACTCCTTACAAAAGTTCTAAAACATTCATGCATGCTCCTCTATTGGGGTGTATATAAATAATTTGAACAAATTATTTAAATAAAAAAGGTACGTTCTACTACCAGGAGGACATAATCTAGGGGGTTAATCGTAACGATAAGTAAAAAATTTGAAGTTTCTAATAATTAAGCTTTTTCAAGTTGTTAAAATAAATATATGGTTCCAAATAAAATCCTTTTGAGCGTCATCGAAAACAACTAATGCAGTCAATTTTAGAGTAACTTGAAGCACGTGGGAAGCACGGACGTGCGCTACAGTTACTATTCGTGCAGCAAGCGCAAGGCTAGCGCTTCGAAAACACGGACAACGATCTTGAACTTGTTCATTCTAGCTCGGCGGCGGTTCGGCAGGTGTGACGCTCGGGGGCGGCTCTGGGAAGCCTAAAGTATGACGGTCTGCGCAGGCCTTCTTTCCTGTGTGCAGCGTTTCTGTGACGTTCCTTTAATCGTTAGTTTAAAGCAGTCACCGCCATGCGCCTCGGATATAAAAGGCCCCACTCACACCTCTGACTCGCACAAGCTGATGCACAACTGCCAGCATACCCTTGTTGTTGTATCGCGCTCTTAGTTGAAACCGTAAAGCCAAGAGAATATCCACTCTGATTCTCGAATCATGGCCATGAACAAGTTTCGTCTTGCCCTGCTACAACTGGCGGTGACGCCCAACATTTCGAGAAACCTCGAAAGAGCCAGTGAGCGAATCAAAGAGGCGGCGTCTGCGGGAGCGAAGATGGTCTGCCTTCCTGAATTCTTCAGCTTTCCGTACGAGCCGAAGTACATAACAAAGTACGCCGAGCCGATTCCCGGAAAAACCAGCGAGATGCTGTCAAGTTGGGCCAGTAAAAACCAGGTCTACCTCATCGCCGGAACAATGTCGGAGAGGGAAAATGACAAAACCTACAGCACCTGCTTGGTCTACGGACCGGACGGTGCGCTGCTGGCCAAGCACCGCAAGGTACACTTCTACTCAACCAACGTCCCCAGCAAAGTCGTCTTCAGCGAGACGGGCTTCATGGCACCGGGCGACAAAGTGTCCACCTTGGACACACCGTACTGCAAAGTGGGCATCGCCGTATGCTACGACATCGCGTTTCCGACCTTTGCCGAGCTGTACGAGCGGCTCGGCTGCAAGTTGCTGGTGTATCCGGGAGCGTTCAACATGTACAACGGTCCGCTGTTCTGGGAGCTTTATTCGAGGGCTAGGGCGACCGACAACCAGGTCTACGTGGCGTCCGTGTCGCCCTCGAGGGACGAAACGGCCTACTACGTCTTTTGGGGACACAGCATGCTGGTAGATCCCCTAGGTAAAGTGGTCCGGTCGGCTGGGGCTGGTGAAGAGATTGTGCTTGCTGATGTCGAGATAGACTATCTGGACTTAATGAGGAACCAGATGTCCCGCGTCAAACATAGAAGGAACGACCTGTACGAGGTAGTCGTCCGCAGGGACGCGGAAACTAACGTCCAGGCTTAAGACGGACTGCGATCTGCGATAGCGACAGCGCAGTAACATCTGCCATCTACTATACGGGAAGAAATCCGGAGGGTTGTAGGTCGGGTGTTTTATATGTTTGGGCATAAAAATATTTTGTTTGCGAATGTTTTTTTTTTTTTTCGTTGTCTGTAGGCCTGCGAACTTTAGTTTGTTCACATCGCTGTCGTTGTTGTTGTTTACCAACGTGCTTTGTTTTTGATATTGGTTTTATAACCAATGCCACAGTTCTATTACCCAAGAAATTAAATTTGGTGAAACAGTATTGGTATATTTAAGTTTTATCGAGTACGAAGATCTCCTCTGCACCCCAATCGCTCCTTGCATTGGTACAACAACGTGATTGTAACTTTGCCTGACATGAACATCATTTGTCTTGAAAGAGTGCAAATAAAAGCTTTGATCTGCCAAGCGTTACTCTTCTTGAATTTGTACCCGGCTGATTGCTTCTTTGCAAGCACGATGTATTATTATTCTAGGGTTTTTTTTTTTTGTTGTTTTTTTTAACACCACGTTTTTTGCGTTATACTTTTTGTCACTCGTCAGTGCTAAATAGCTCTAAATATTAGAGAGTTTTATGGCTAATTCGGATGGTCATTTCCAGGCAGAATATTTTGCCATATCTTCGGCAAGGGCGTTCGCGTGGTAAAAGGCTGGTGGGTGCAAGCTGTTTGTGTGGCCCTTCTTAAGGGGGGACATGGGTCCTTGAAGCCAAAAACTTCCTAAAACTGCATTCTTTTGAAAATGGCAGTGGCTGTTGTTCTTCTGAATCTACCAGGCTTATAATTTCGTGGATGAATATTTAGCTATAAATCAACTTATAGCATCTATGTGGGCTGAATGCGCATTGAAGTTGACTCTAAAACATTGTTTTGACAAAACACAATTTTTTGACTCGATAAAAATTTGCAGGAGGGATATCTCAGCATCTAGAGCAGATAGAAATATAACCGTTCCTAAAATGTGTAGCTGAATGTGTGAAGCATACAATGTTGAGATCAGATTTTTTAATATATATAAGTCTAGAAAATTTTCTATTTGATCTTTTGCTTTATTACTTGTTAACCATGCATTGAGCACTGAACTTCAATATGTGGTATAATCACTAATAATGAGTTTATCTTAAAAGTGCTTCCAACATTGCATTCTCTACACTTCGTAGTCTCTAGCCACGTATTAAAAAGAATATTTTGCTGAGCAGTTTTTTTTCTATTGTTTTTCCGAACAAAGGCAGGCAAGTTTTAATTATTTTGAGGACAATTCTACTGACTGACAAAATGACCAGATATATGAAATCAGCACAAAAAGCTGAACAAGCCTGTGCAGTTTCATTGGGTTTGGTGATAAAATAAGAAAAAAAAGCTCCAAGACCAGTGTTCCCCCTTAAGCGTGTGTGCCGGCAATTTATTGGCACAAGTTTTGCCCGAGCTCCAAGTGGTCAGGCAGCTTGTCTGCCAGACTGTATCAGGTATCGTCACATCGGAATCGGAAAAGTGAACCAAACGAAACAATGGTCGCTGAAAGCGTCAAATAGCGTGTTCGTGTGGCAAACGAAGCCATCGAGACAGACACCCATTTGTGCTCGGACAAAAGATACCGAAAACAATGAAGGTAAATATAATTTACGTCGTAAAAGTAGCCAACATCTTTGCAATAGTTCGTCCAGCCTGCGCAGGGTAAGAATTTGCTTTGAGACACGAGCTGCCCCATACATTACTCTGTTTTAAACTGAGTACTAACATTTTATTACACCGCTGGAAAAAAAAAAAAGTATGCATAGTGATGCAGTTATTCCTAAACGTGAAAGCAGGGCTACCGATAGCCACATTGTGTTACAGGAAAAAAAAATAGATCTACTGACGTATTCTAACGCTGAAATGACTGCAAAAGATAGTGCAAAATGGCACAAAATTAAATTAAAATTCCGTCATCTCCCGCTTTGAAGCGGGAAATATCGCAATCAGGTCTCGATGTACAACACTTCATGTGGCTGAACAATAAAGACCCCTCTCTGCCATTTATGCATGCGTTTTAACAAAGACCCAACACGCAGTGAGGTGTGCAGCGGGGTTTTATGGCTAAACTAACATGCTATGAGCCTTCCCTCTTCATACCTTCCCCCCCCCTTTTTTTTCTATATTTTTTTTCTTTAAATTATGGGGCCCCGTTCAGGAGGTCCTTTGGATCCGCCCCTTCTCAGCGACCGCTCGCCGCGACCGCCCGATACAAGAAATTCCCAAGCGGGTTTCCCGACACCTATCACTCTAAAAAAAGCCCGTGCGTCTACTTTCGCACACAACACCTCGGAGAGCCAATTACCTCAACTACTGGAGGCAACTCAGCGAATGACAATGCCGAAACATATGTTTAGGCCAAAAAACGCAGTCTGAGTTGTGACATTAAGCAATGCAAAACGTCACGCTTGCATTCCTTAATGTCACAACTCAGATGCCTTTTTTGGTCTAAACATATGTTTCGGCATCGCCATTTGCTGAGCTGCCTCCGTAAGTTGCGGTGATTGGCTCTCCGAGTGTTGTGCGAGAAAGTAGACGCACGGGCTTTTTTTAGAGTGTATATCAAGACAGATCACGTAATCTCTCCCACAGACCCGTCAAAACGATTTCGATGGGTGCCATGGTTTCACAGGAAGATTAGAACAAACCCCAAAGGCCTCTGAAAAAAACTATGACGGGTCTCTTACACCCTTCAGATATTTTGAAGGCCACGTGAGGCTCCTTAAAAAACTTCAACGGAGATCTTAAACTCCACGAAAATGTTTCAAGGTTACGTCAAAACATTCCAGAAATCCTAGTGTTCCCCATAAACTTACCTCTACAAAGTCAAGATTTTTGGAATCGTAATACAACCAAGCAGCGTTTTTTGAACGGCCCGTGATGTTCTCTATAAATTTCTTTCTTTTTTTTTTTTTCAAAGTAATTTACAGGCAGTTTTCTATATATATTTATATTATTTCCATCGTAAGTGAACATTTATATTCTCATTTTCTAAAACCTAAGGCTGCCTGTAATAATCCTATTTTTATTATTATCCATTCTAATTACTTTTCTATGTTTTTGGTTTGTGTGTTTGCCATCTACTATATACTCCCTCATCAAGCCCACTCATGTCGGCATCTGGTTCGTGACCACGGCGCTGCAATTTTGATTGCATTCGGTCATGAACTAACTGAACTCAAGATCCGCCCCGTAATGTATTCCCCGTAAAAAAAAAATAATAATACCACATAAATAAAAACACTATTTTGTGACGAACTCGTTGTACTTCAATGAATATAATCCGTGCAGAGCTACGCCAGATGCGCCGTTTCATTTGCAGTGCGTTTTCATTTTGAAAATGCGTTACGGCGGATGTCAACTTCAGAACTCTGATCCTTGTTTTCAAACCAGAAGATCGACATGCTTTGCATAATTTACAATACTGTTTTTACCACATAAAAGTGATGTCTAGCTAGTGCCGTTCGCTACACTGCCCACCCTGGGTCCTAAAGCAGCAGTCTCAGTCCTATTTCATCACAGAAAATACAGCCGGCAGACAATGCGCGAGACGTGTTTATTGCTTGTATAGTGGTCCAACCACGTTGGTCGTACAAAAACTGCCTGAAGACGTGTTTGAAGCAGGCATGTGCATGAAGCGAACAGGCTTCAAACATTCTTGTAGCGCATCCGTAGATAATGAACCATAATCCACACTCTAAGACAAAATGGAGGAAAAAAGTAGCAACGGCGCGTCTTCCTCCCTTCTACTGACGCGCCCCCAAGCGGACACGAGAAAAGGGGAGGAACGAAACGTTTTTCTCCTTCTCCAGGCAGACGGGAGAAAACGTTCGCCCTCACGACTCATCTTCTTTCGGTTTCGTTTTTCGAGAAGGTCGCGCACGTTGTTTAATAAATAGCTGTTGAGTTGATTGAGCTTCAGCGGCAGCGAAGGGCGCCTGTAATTCCGTCTTCTGGTCTAAACGTGCAGAACATTTCGGTTGCATTGACGTTTTTATCACTAATTTTATCAAACGAGCAAACGAAGCCGCTAGAAACAGCGGAGTTCCGGAGCAGTGCCAGCAGCGCCACGTACACTGGGGGATGGCCGTCTCCGGATTGCGGGACTCGCGCGGCACGGAACTACAGTTGGTAGCGAAACCACGCGGAACTGTGTCGACGTTTTCGACGTTATGGAAACCGCAGGAACTGCGTCCAAGACAGGCAGGTTTTGCTGCCGGCTGCCTATGCCTTCCGTCCTAAATTCAGTTCTGTTTTCCGATGCCGAGTGCAACCGGAATTCAACGTGGTTCTGTATTTGTGCGTGTCAGCAACATAGTTGCAACATCGTGTAGCAGTGTTGTGGGTTGCGAACAGAAGACTGGAATTATCGCTGATTGGACCGTGTGTTCGCGTATCAGTGGTGTAACAACAAGATGAGATCGTAAACTGTCGGGCATTGATGCCGTTGCTCGGGCCGTGATCGGAGGGGGCGATGTGTCGCAGGTTGACATGCGCTTTACATTAAAAAGTTTAATACCACTTGAGGGATTACGTGCAATCGATTAGCGTGCGGATAGTCATGTTAGAACGCTGGTCTGAACAGTAGAAGGTCCTATCGCTATCAAACAGTGGCCAATGTGACTGTCGGAATCGTCTCGTCCCCGAGAGCGATTGCGCTCTGGGGCAAGGACTGAACAGTGCGAAATCGTGACGGAAAGTACGTATATTTACAGTATGGAATTTCGGCATTAAAAAACAATAGTAGGTAAAATCGAAAAAAAAGAAAAAAGCTACCCTTTATTTTGCTGTTTAAATATACTACGGTTCCTGGAGAAACTGCCCTCCAAGTGGCGCGCTGGGATGAGCGCTAGAAGTTTTCAGGCTCGCCACGGCGTAGCTCCGTACACTTAACACCTGCCGCAAGTCACGGCTTTGACTGCATTCAAGTTGATCGAAAAGCAATTTCTCTGCCCGTGAAGCATCACTTCCAGCTGAGTGAATATCCGCTCTACAAAAATTAATTCAAGGCGGCAATTGCAGCTTTGCGCGAACAGCACAAATAGAAAAAACCAATGGAAATAAAGGCTATGACGTGCGTGTGGGGAAACAAACTCATGCCTTCGAACCGCATTGGAGCGGCATGATTTATTGGCTTTCAAATAATTAGGGCATGATCGAGCGTTTACTTTTTGATAAGAGATTAATCCCCTGAGCCATTCAAAATACTCTCACAGGTATGACATTGCTGGGAAAAAATCAACATGCTGGGAATATTTTTTATTGCTTAGGGAGTCACCGAAACGTTCCGTACGTTCAAAACGACCAGTATAAAAGACGGAAACGCAGATCACGAGTGTAGTGTTCGGGTTAGTGTGGTGTTCCGTTCTATTGATATTTGTGTGTGCCGTGTATGTGCTCAATGTATGTTCAGCTGATGCTTGTAATGAGTGTAACGTGTGTATAGTAGAGTGCCCAAGCGCAGTAGCGGCCTGAGGAGAGCAAAACACTTTTTGTAGAACATGAATTGGGCGGTACCTAGAGCACTATATAGCTCCTTCGGAGCAGAGTAGCGCAATCTAGAACGCCGCCTCTCGGCGACTAGCGGCGAACACCCGGAGGTTCCAACTGCGGTCAGAAATGCATGGAGAACGTGAGAAAATCGTTGTTTCTTCAGTATTGTGGGGATGTACGGAATGGAAGTTGTTTTTGACGTAATAATGGAACTTTTTCGAATAATTTGCGCTAAGTTTTGTGCCACGCAAGGACGTAACTTTTTTTTAAAAATTGCCTCAGCGGCATCATGCAGCAGACGACACGGCGACGTCACACCATTCACGTGACCCGCTCCCGCCAACCCGAAAAGCCCATCTCCGCTGCGAGCAAAAATCGTCTGCTTCAAACGCCATTGCCTTGGAAATTGCCTTCTCAAAATTTGCACACGCATCCGATATTATTAAAACTTTGATAAAGTGTTTAGTGATTTACTAACTTCACGACAGACTAGTTTTGAAAAGTCTGAACTCTCCGCTCATTTTTTGATCAGCCGTGTTGTGGCGATCTCCATGTATTCTCCCTCCCATAGGGCGGGCCGCCTCCTGGAACCCTCAGTACCACGTGACTCGCGCCGAGCCGCTCTGTCGGCCATGTTGTCGGCAAAGCACGGGGTTCAAAGGATTGCGCTACTCTGCTCCGTAGGAGCTATATAGTGTTCTAGCGGTACCTAGCGCCACCTAGCCTAACTACTTGCAATTACTCTGCTTGACCCCGCCATCTGGTGGCTAGCGATTTAACCTTTCACACTACGCGATAAACAGCGGCTTCGACGTTTGTTCTTTTGAGAGCGGCTTTTTGTTTCGCGGATTGAGTTTGCCCTTTCCGTGATGTGCGGTTGACGAAGGAATTATGACTTGAGGAACACCAACGGTAAGACGCAAAGTGCGCGAAGTAACTGGGTATCGGTTGTCTCCGTTTAACATCGCAGTGCTGTCGACGAGAAGACTGAGTACATGGTTGAAAAACTTTTTGTTCATTAATCCTACAAGACTGAGTAACTGCTTTCGAAACACAAGTGTCTGTACCTGTGGAGGGAATCTGGCTTCGGAAATAAACACAGTTTGCGGAAAGCTCGTGTTACGCTTTTATTTGCTGCTGCTCTCGTCCGGTACAAGAGACGTAGCGTCCTCGCCAAGCCTTATTGGGATCGATTTGCTCGATTCGGGGCCGCTATATTGAGATGCAAGCGACAAAGGAACTTTGCTCCCCTGCTTCAGGGACGAACTTTTCTCCCTTTCTAAAGGAACATAGGTTACAAGACGGTTCCTCCCCTAAGGGAGGACTGTCATACCCTTTTTTCTAAGAGTGCAGTGATCATTAGAAACCGAGCGTGTTGGTGCGAGTCAATTTACACGCGAAGGAGTTGCGAAATAGGACGGAGCACAAAACACGACATGTCTTTCACTTGAAGTGTGTTGAGAAAAACAGATCAAAAGTTTAAGAACACCGCATCACGTTGGTGCGTGAAGCACTCTGTTCAGCTCAGATGTGAGGAATTCCACTTCTGTCTCCTTCCGCATCCTCAAAACAATTTCTTATTGTGCACCCTCTGTAATTTTGGTATCAGCCGTCACACGTGCGGCCATGAACCACAATCAAGTGAAAGGGCTCATCGGAGCTATTTGAAATCTCCAGGGCCCGTTTGCTCGAAGCGCGAACCGCGGCTAAAGCTATCCGCAGTACCTAGGAGAGGGATTTTGAAATCACGTGACTGGCTTGGTAGGGATGCGGGGAAGCATGGCGGTGCCCCGGTGAGTGAGCCCCGCTCGCTTTAGAACTAATATGTCGTTGTAGCTGCAATATCGGGCGCGTTAGTCAGCAACGAATGGTCAGGAGGCTTTCGCTTTGCCATACTTCACCTCAATCGAAAAGCACGAGCAATGACCTCGCCGCATTTTTATGATAGTCTTTCGATTCTGGCCAGTCCTAAGCCTAAATGGACGGGATAATTGTCGGCATGGCAACCTCTTTGGAGAGCGGATTGCCTTGACTCAATCGGCCAAGTATTTATAGCACACAAAAACAGACAGCGTATAAACTTCCCGAGCACCCAGGTGCATACTGCGAGTGTAGTCACACGCGCTGCTCGTGCTGGCGTCTGCAGTAGCCCAGACAACGCAAGGACATCCTGAGGACATACTAAGGTTGTCGACATGGGGACGTAAAGACCTCCCGAGGACGTTTCTACGGGGTCCTCAAATGATCCCCAGCAGGTCCATTTGTCCGGCCCCACCACGTGGTGAGGACGTCCTGGAAACGTCCACACAGATGACATAAGCACGCCCTGAGGACATCCTAAGGGCGTCCCTATGTGAAAGGAGAGACCTTCCCAGGACGTCTTTACAGGTCCTCAAATGATCCCCAGCAGGTTCATTTCTCCGGCCCCACCACGTCCTGACGGTGTCCTGGAAACATCCACACAGACGACACAAGGACATTCTGAGGACGTCTTAAAGGGCACCCCAGAGATTTCTGAGATGGCCTACTTATGACCGTAACTTGATCTACGTGCTCTACGTGACCCAAAAATCCAACACTTACAGTCATCTGCGGCCTATTTCTTTATTAAAAGTCTGATCAAGGATCGCAACTCTGACCTACAGATGGTGCCACCGAACCCAGCCGAATCTGGTCCGATGACGTACGGCGCTCGCGATTGGCTCACGAGCGCCCTTCGTCGTTCGACCAGATTCGGCCGGGCTCGGTGGTGCCGTCTGTAAGTCTGAAGTTCGCGATCCTTGATCACATTTCTAATAGGAAAATAGGCCGCACATGACTGTAACTGTTGGATTTTTGGGGTGCTTAGAGCACATAGGTCGAGTTACGGCCATAAGTAAGCCATCTCAGAAAACTCTGGAGTGACCCTTTAAGAGCGTCTCGTAGAAACGTCCGGGACGCTTTTTGTAGTCCTCAAGAGAGCAATTTGTCCGGCCCCAGCGTGTTTCCAGGACGCATATCCCAAGTGTGGCCACCATACCCAGTGTTGCCTTCTGATGTACTGCAGCCAATGCTACAAGCCTATCCGGCATGCAAAGCATGTCACATGACTGGTTGGCGCAGTGACGTGCCAAGTCACGACACCCTCGTGGCTGGTACAGTGCTAACGGGGAACTGCACACAATACACACAGGTTTATGATATCATATCTAAAAAATGGATTTGGGGAACTTAGTAGTGCATCCACATTGTCAACAACTTCAACTATGGTTAACATGGAAGGCAGGTTTCAGACATATCTTGCAAATGATGTGGAAGAAAGCGCAGTCCCCCCCCCCCTCAAAGGTGCAAGGACTGTCTACTCAATATCAATAAACTCAGTGTTGTTCATAGATATAGTTTATTAATTGCCCAATGTATAACATCTGATACAGCCAGTATCTTTTGTAGTTGAAAAAGAAATTGAGATATGTCTACTTTCCACAGCGTAAGTTACAAACAACCAACGACGCTCAGTATCACTCTGGGCATTACAGGATTAAAAGTTTGACTAGAAGTGTTCCACTGTATGCAACAAATAATCTTATTATTCATCAGGCTGCAGCTTCCGCTGCTCCTTCTTCAGTTTTTCTGCGGCATGCTTCAGCCATGTTTTTATAACCTCCCAAACTTCTGCCTTGTCCGTTTCCAACCGCTTGTTTTTCTTTACGGCTCCTGAAATAAATTTGGGGATTTATTTTAACTGATTATATTGACATGTATATCCATATTAGAAACTCAAATATGTATAATGCCTGAACCTGTTTTAATTAGAGGGTGTCTATACAACCTACAGACAGCACTATAAACACTGGGATGAGGTTGCCATGTAACTTGCGAGGGCCGAAAAGGCTCAATTGAAAAGGATAATGTGCTAGTACTGCGGGTGACATCAAAGGAAATACGGGAGCACACAGTACATAGCCTCCAACATTACTTCTAGTAATAGTCGCTACCATGTATCACAAAAGAACGGTTTGAGTTTACTTGCCACATGATCCCGTGTTCACTTTCGTATTGCTCACAGTAGTATGTTACACGGCAAAGCTGTTGTAGCATTACAGCGTCGAAATGCATTTTTGCAATGCCAGAGCTTGCATTGTAAGTATGCTTAAATTAGCACTGAAAAAGTTTCTGAGGTTGTCTGTTCTTGGACATAACTCATTCCTGGAGCTCAAAGCGTCCTTAAGATCCACAATTCACAATCCTGTGCCACCTATTTACATATTAAAATATAATTGAAATTAATTTTTCTGCGATATATCGCAGAGGCTGAACCATTGCCAAACGACAAAAAGCGCTTGCCAGTCACTCGGGAGCGGTAGTTTCCCGCAAGGAGTGATTCGTATGCGCGCTACTTTTCAGTGTTGGTTCCGTCCACAGTCAGCTGTGCCCTCTTAGATGCCTAATCTCTCACAATCCTTTAGAAACCGCATTCCCCACATGATAAGAATTATGGACGGGATCCTTGGGGGCGAAGGAAAATGTCTTCCGCAAACATTGCAAGCGAACGCCCCGGGGAGCAGACGAGCTGGCACATCGCACCCTCCGAAGAAGGCGAGGGGAAACCTCATGTATTTCTATCGTCACGGGCTTAATAATCTGTTTTGTGACATGAAACTTTGAATACATATTAACTGGCACTTACTATGTTATATGAAAACAAAAACAAGCATCTACAAAAACCTCTTTAGTGCCCTTATAGATTTAAATGGAGTCTGTCATCAAAACTATTAGTGGAATGTCATAACCTTGATTACAACATGAAATGCAGAAATGCCAATGTAGGGCCTGTGGCTTTGTCAAGCTGTCCTTGTGACAGCGTTTTACACAAGCCTCCAGTATCCTGTACATTGTACTTTATGCAAATAAATAAGCATGCTACTGGTGACTTCTGCAATACTGACAGGACTTCCCACTTAGGGCACAAAGCTGTCAAGTCTGGTTCGCTTGACAGCTAGCTTGCACGAGTGAAGCAAGTATGAGAGCACCTGGCAGCCTAAACGTGAATCCGTGAAAGTTGGTTAGAAAATGCAGCATGAAAATCGCCAATATTGCGTTCACCTTTTATGATGGCAGAGCAGCAAAAGCTACAAGCACGAACTAGCACATGCACCTTCCATTAAGACCCAATGTTCCTAGATCGATCTACGAAAAAACAGCCCAACACTGTGGTTTCTTATTTATTTATACATTACATACCCAGGGCGACCTTTTTGTAGTCTCCACTAAACTAACAGCTTAGGAGTGAACGGATTATATTCTGTGAACAGCTGTTAGAACAAAACTGCATGTCGGGTCTATTTGGTTCTGGTTAAACGAGCGAATCACATTTTGTGTAGCATGGAATCTCACCCTGTGGCATGCAAGTTAGCATCGTATATTGAGTGGCCTAATATCCTGAAAGCAGCTTTCCTCTTGGATTGTGGAGCTTGGCAACACAAGAAGCCACTAAAATGCACCTTCCTGCCCCAAACATACATTAAGACTTATTCATACTTACTGTAGATGACATCCGGGTAGTCGAGGTCTTTAAACTTCATCTTCTCCCTTTGACCCAGCCAGCTGAATTTCACCGCCACCTTCTGGGTCATCAACTGTTCTAGCACGCCACGAGTGTTGTTGCCCACCGACGAACCTCCTACTGCTGCCAGCTGATTGACCTGCATTGCAGTCAGTGAGGTCAATTAAAGCCTGCAATTTTAACAAAAACAAACAATAATGCCATAACACTCACAAGCTTTCCTTTGTCGCTTTGCATGTCTTCAATTTTTTGTCAAACACCAGAAAGTCATCCACGTTGTCAAAAGGTTCTTCAAGTATTTCGTCGTTGGGTACGTTCATTGCTCCACTGCTGTTTAGGATTCCCAGAATGGTATCCAGCTGCATAGAATGCTGTTCCACCCGGAGCCGGATTGTGTGCAAAATACGAATTACTTGCTTGTCAAGACCTAGAAAGGGAGCACATTAAATTTCCTGTAGCTACACCAAAACATCCTGACTGCAAATTTACTACATGAACATATCCTCACCAGTAAAAGCTTCTTCATTCCTCTTGTGCCCCATTGCCCGATGCATCATGGTGCTTCCTTGACTTTCTGAATGTGAGAAAAGGGACAAACGTGGGACAAAATCATCATATCTAGGGTTCAGCATTTTTGGTTCACACCACTACAAGTATGCCTATCAAGAGAGGAAGCGGATTAAATATTCTGTACCTACACCAAAACTTGTCTCCAGATTTACTACATAGATGTATACTCACCACTAGAAGCTTCTTCATTCCTCTTGTGCCCCATCGGCCCATGCATCATAGTGCTTCCTTGACTTTCTGAATGTGAGAAAAAGGATAAGTCTGTGAGAAATTCGTTATATTTAGGGTTCAGCATTTTCAGCTCGCACCGATACAAGTATGCCGATTCCATTTTCAAACATGTGGTTTCAAAACGTTGGCGTTTTAGACCAGAACTGTGCGCCAAAGTAGGGGATGGACTTGTCATTGAGCGCAACCCAGTATTCAGATATCTACCTGACCGCTAAGTGTCCTGTTGGCTGAGCGTTCACGGGTCAACACAGCCATTAGGGATCGGGTATGGACAGTTTTCATTCTGTCAAGCCGTTAGCTTTTATTTTATTTCTGGTCAAAGCAATACATTTTTTTTTTTGCAATTTCTATTGCTTGTGCTACTAACCCAATTTGACAGTCCTAAATATAGGAGGCAAGAAAAAGTGGTCCAAGAATTATGATTCAGAATTTCGTGATTCGAAGTGTGTCCTCCAAACGGAAGTGGTAGCCAAGGCTATGTAAGTCTTGTCTGCATATGACGCCACATGACGATTAATTCAGATAACGGTAGGGCCTCAATGCGCCTAGAAGAGCACGCCAAGTCTGCACGGCACATGAAAGTGGAAGCATTACACACTAAATAATTTAAGTGAAACTAAAAAGACAGCAAAAGCTCAAAAATATCAACCTAACTATATTTTGGACAAACATGATTGAAAAGAGCACGTTTTGTCAATACATATTAACCGAAAAATATGAGTAAACTATCACTGCATATTCACCAATTAAAACCAACTTTCATTTAAAAAAAAAAATCAGCAAATTAAAAAAAAAATGCACAGAGGTCTAAGTATAACCATGAAGACCAATGTAAGAACTAAATAATTTGCAGTCTGTGACAAATGTTCAACAAGTGCCATGATACCAATTTGTTGCTTACCATATCTATCGCAAAAAGTATGATGGCATATCATAAGACTATTCCCAAACTGCAGGCTGCTCGTATTACAATTAATGTATTTTACGAGGCAACTCAAAGATGAAAGTTAGCAGGAAACTCACGAGAGGCTGTCTGGTGGGCTGCTTTGCTAGCCGGATGGCAAAGTGCACTGTTGCGTTTCCACTTTTCCGTATGTTTCCCCCACGTCTTTTCAGCACCTGAAAATTCACAAGCAGTTGTGTAATTAGGTAATGCTAAAGCACTTGAAAACTAAAACTCAAAAATATTTACATTCCTATTTACATTCCAGGAATTATTTTTGTGCTGACCAGGGAAAGAGTGATACCTCAGAAATGCTAAAATGTTATTTGGAAACCCTACAAATCTTAAAAATTACACAAGTAGCAATCTGGCACAGGGTATTATTGTAACATTTTCAGAAAAAGAAATAAGCCTATGATTCCATATACCTCTTTTCTCCCTTCCACGTGGTGGTGTAGGAGGTTCTGAAGAGTCTGTATCTTGTTTCTGTGTTCCATGCTGTGCTTCAGGCTCATCAGAGTCAGACGAACTCAGTTGTCGAGTTATTTTCTTTCGCTTTCCCTTGCCAAGGTCATTCTCGCTCTGGAGATCCGATGTGCACTCAGCGATCCGCAGTTTCTGTTGAGCTTTCTCATAAGTGGCTGAAAAAGTGAACAGGAACTCAGAGGGGGCAAAAAAGCAATCAAATATTACCCTTGGAACATGCTCTTTAACAAACATAATGCTCCTAAAATTTTCTCCATGGCATGCCATAGTAGCTCAAGTCAGATATAAGTGTAATGTAGAACCATGCTAATCCTTACGGTATGCATCCATCTCGACACACTTGAATTTCTTCCATGACGACATCGGAGTTGCTCCCTTTTTAATTAGTTCTCGCAGCCTCCTGCTCTCTTTCTCTGGGGGCCACAGGCAGCTGTTGCCGTGCACCCACTTGGTATGAACCACTGCCACTTCGTCGTCTTGTTCAGGGAACCTCACAACTAGGAAATCACCTCGTTCTACACAAATGGAAGATAAAAGAACATTGTTACACGATGCGCAAGACGCACCCAAGAAAAATTGTACTTAAAAATCCCTTGTAACTCGGAGCTAAAAAAATAACTCTAGCTGTCTACACTGGACTGCTCTAAAGTCAACCACTTGAAATTTACATCATGGTGTGCACAAGTGGAAAAACAACATGGTGCCCCTTGAATGGAAGCTTGACACACTTGTGTTGCACAGTGGCCAGCGGCCAGCAATTCAATTTGGAAGCCTGGTCCACCAAACAGACACCAAGTACAGAGGAGCTCCATGGTGATGTGTAGAAGTCCCTGCACCTCAGAAACTTGCGGCCAATGATACATGGCTCTCCTGATAGTGAGAAGTGAGCAATATTCTCAATAGTTACAATACTACCGTCACTAAGAACACAGCAGCTGTCCCTCTTGCCCCTCTTGAGCATGAACTTCGGAGTTGTGACTTTGCGAAACTGGGGCTCACGACACTGGGACAACAGTGGGCCCTTTTTGTGGTTCATATCGAGCAAAACCTCGTTACTGGCAGCAGCTTGGCTGGAAGGTACTCTCCTCTTTTCACAAATGCGGTTGTGCACCTGCTCAAGAGGGAGGTCAGGTTTTCGGAGAAGTTTCTTCAGCGAGGACATATGGTTCTCGAAAGGAAAAGCGATCCATGCATCCAGGGGCCCAAGTGAACGAACATCGTCAGCCAAATGTACCAAACCATGTACATTATGTGAGACATTTTCAGCTCCGTAGAGCTTTACGAAGGTTTTGACAAAATAACGCAAGAGCTTCTCGGCATAATCAATGTCGCTTGAGTCGCTAGCGGGGCTTGCCAAAACAGTTATGGCAATGTGGAGGGCAAGAAAGTTCTCATACATCTTGTCTGATAGACTTGAGGAGAGGACGACTGGACCGCCATACAACAAAAAGAACCTGAACTCTGTAGCCTTCCAGCGATCAAGATCTGACAGGCTTCGTGGTTTTCGATTGAAATCAGATGGAACATAGCGTGCCAGTGCAATATTCATAGCCGACACTGTATCTCGCACCTAGCTTCCCAGTCTGGTCGGTCGAGGCCCTCGAAACCACATCACAAGGAGCTTGTGCACGACCCCAAGACAGACTAAGTGCATATATTCGAGTGGTACCTGTTTGACAACGTCAACCGGTAGCTCGAGCAAAATACTCGGCCCAGTGTCAAGATGGTGCTCTTCTTGAGACATGCTTCGGAAATCGGCATCTGTTCTCAGGCTCGCGGTCAGATCCGGAAAGCACACCCTGCCATTGATGTAGGTGCCCCGAACAGTGCACTTTGTGCAGCTATAGTAGCCAGTATGGCCTTTGATGCACAGTATGAATGATTTTGCTGGGGCATCGCGAATGAAGGCCCCAACACGAAGAGCAATTTTTGTGCCATTGATACAAACTCCTTCTTGCAGAAGTTCACTCAGCTCTTGCACAAAGTCGTGCAGAAAATCGTTTGCATCTGGAGGCTTGCTTTGACCGCAGAACAGACCCACAATGAATGGTGCGACGTTCTGAACGTTCCGGACTTCGCAAAGAATCGGCCAGAACTGGTTTCTCGAACTTTTTCCAAGTGGCAGGCCGTCCACGTTGAAGTTCAAGATGAGGTGTTCAGGAAGCCGGGAAATGCCACGCAGAAGTTCCTCCAGGCCAGCAGCCAAGCCAAAGGGACAGTATTTCCCGGAGCCCATGTTTCTGATTCCTGGACTTTTTCTAGGTGTTTCCAGTAGGGCTCGTGCAGAACTCGGAAGTGCCGAAAAACACGAGTGACCGCGGAGAACTGCTAAAAGGGCGGTGACAACTGTGTGCGGAACAAAATTATTAATTGCCCACTCCTGGAGTTGCCTCCTGAAGCCCCTCAAGCGGTCCTCTGGGTTTTCACCATCGTTGGCGGGTTTTACGAGCAAGCGCTGCAGGCTTTCCAAAGCATGGGACTCGGCGGTGCTGGCGCCATTTCGCCGGGAGGGCTGGCCTGGCTCGCACAAATCGGCGTCGCGATGCTCGTCCACAGCACTTTCTTGGCCAGCCCCATTGACGTGTAGATCGTCCTCTCGGTCGTCAACGAACTCCCCAACACCAGCCAGCAAAGAAATGGTTTCGCCGACACTTCGATTTACCTGACGGCGAAAGCGCCGTGCTGCAGCTGCGTTTTCCGACATGTTACTGTTGATTTCTGACATTTAGCGGTAGTCCGAAACTTGAGCTTTACTCGCACAATCAATCTGAGACACGAAAATAACAATATTAAGATCTGCTTACCTTCCTCAGAGTGTCCGTTGATTCCTCCGTCAATTTCCAGCATTTCCGGAGCATAAGCCATTTCCCTTTTCTCGCGCCAACGTGCTCCGCGCTCTTTGTTCGTACAAAATTGATAATGGCGTCATACAGTTCAGCCGCTTTTACAGCGCATAACTAGAGTATGTGTTAAACTGCAATATCAAATATACCTTAACCATTTATGACAAATAATAATTATTTTTGTTTCAGATCAATGTTTTTTATTGAAATGCTTAAACAAAGTTAATTTACATCAACTAAAAGTTTCGTACTCAGCGTGGTTTCGTTTTCAACTGCCGGCACGGCACCCTTGCTGCGCAAAACTACTGCGTCTTATGGTTAGTCCTAAATAAGGCGATTCGAAGACGTCGTAAAGACGTCTTCGACGGGACGAATATTTCCCCGACTAGTTCAATACGTCCCCAGGACGTCTTCGACGGGACGAATATTTCCCGACTAGTTCAGTACGTCCCCAGGACGTCTCTGTCAGGACGAAGACGAGTCGACCAGTTGAGGACGTCCTCAGGAGTATGTGTGTTGTCTGGGAGTAATTGTTCTAAAGCAAAAAGACTAAAACAAAGTTTGCCTTGCACGCGCGTTCGTCAAAGCCTTATTATGATTATTTACTTGGAATCTTTATAAGAAGAAGGCCAGCGCGCGCGGACCGTAGAATTACGCTTCCAGCATTCTCCTCGATGCTCGGATAATTTAGAAAAAGGTCTATTGGGACGTTGTCTGCTTTTGTGTAGTGCTATCAATACCCGGCCGATTGAGTCAAGGCAATCCGCTTTCCAAAGACGTTGCCATGACGACAATTATCGCGTTCATTTAGGCTTAGGAATTACCAGAATCGAAAGACTATCTAAAAAATGCGGCGAGGTCATTGCTCATGCTTTGCGATTTAAGTGAGGTAAGGCACAGCGAAAGCCCCTTGCACCATTCATTGCCGACTAACGAGCCCGATAATGCAGCTACAACGACATATAGTTCCAAAGCGAGCGGGGCTCACACACCGGGGCACCGCCATGTTTCCCCGCATCCCTACCGAGCCAGTCACGTGATTTCAAAATTCCTCTCCTAGGTACTGCGCATAACTTTAGCCGCGGTTAACGCTTCGAGCAAACGGGCCCTGGAGATTTCAAATACCTCCGATGAGTCCTTTCACTTGATCGTGGTTCATGGCCGCACGTGTGACGGCTAATACCAGAATTACAGAGGGGGTAGAATAAGAAATTTTTTTGAGGATGCGGAAGGAGACAGAAGTGGAATTCCTCACATCTGAGCTGAACAGAGTGCTTCACGCACCGACGTGATGCGGTGTTTTTAAACTTTTTATCTGATTTTCTCAACACAATTCAAGTGAAAGACATGTCGTGTTTTGTGCTCCGTCCTATTTCGTAACTCCTTCGGGTGTAAATTGACTCGCACCAACACGCTCGGTTTCTAATGATCACTGGATAATGGTTCATTATCTACGGTTGCGCTACAAGAATGTTTGAAGCCTGTTCGCTTCATGCACATGCCTGCTTCAAACACGTCTGCAGGCAGTTTTTGTATAACCAACGTGGTTGGACTACTATACAAGCAATAAAAACGTCTCGCGCATTGTCTGCCGGCTGTATTTTCTGTGATGAAAAGGACTGAGACTGCTGCTTTAGGACCCAGGGTGGGCAGTGTAGCGAACGGCCCTAGCTAGACATCACTCTTATGGGGTCAAAACAGTATTGTAAATTATGAAAAGCATATCGATCTTCTGCTTTGAAAACAAGGATCAGAGTTCTGAAGTTGACATCCGCCGTAACGCGTTTTCAAAATGAAAACGCACTGCAAATGAAACGTCTCATCTGGCATAGCTCTCAACGGATTATATTCATTGAAGTACAACGAGTTCGTCACAAAACAGTGTTTTTATTTATGTGGTATTTTTTTTTTACGGGAAATACATTACGGGGCGGATCTTGAGTTCAGTCAGTTCATGACCGGATGCAATCAAAATTGCAGCGCCGTGGTCACGAACCAGATGCCGACATGAGTGGGCTTGATGAGGGAGTATATAGTAGATGGCAAACACACAAACCAAAAACATAGAAAAGTAATTAGAAAGGATAATAATAATAATAGGATTATTACAGGCAGCCTTAGGTTTTAGAAAATGAGAATATAAATGTTCACTTACGATGGAAATAATATAAATATATATAGCAAAACTGCCTGTAAAATACTTTGAAACAAGAAAAAAAGGAATTTATAGAGAACATCACGGGTCGTTCGAAAAACGCTGCTTGGTTGTATTACGATTCCAAAAATCTTGACTGTGAAGAGGTACGTTTATGGGGAACACTAGGATTTCTGGAATGTTTTGACGTAACCTTGAAACATTTTCGTGGAGTTTAAGATCTCCGTCGAAGTTTTCTAAGGAGCCTCACGTGGCCTTCAAAAATATCTGAAGGGTGTAAGAGACCCGACATAGTTTTTTTCAGAGGCCTTTGGGGTTTGTCCCAATCTTCCTGTGAAATCACGGCACCCATCGAAATCGTTTCGACGGGTCTGTGGGAGAGATCACGTGATCTTTCTTGATATACACTCTAAAAAAAGCCCGTGCGTCTACTTTCTCGCACAACACTCGGAGAGCCAATCACCGCAACTTACGGAGGCAGCTCAGCAAATGGCGATGCCGAAACATATGTTTAGACCAAAAAACGCATCTGAGTTGTGACATTAAGCAATGCAAGCGTGACGTTTTGCATTGCTTAATGTCACAACTCAGACTGCGTTTCTTGGCCTAAACATCTGTTTCGGCATTGTCATTCGCTGAGCTGCCTCCAGTAGTTGCGGTGATTGGCTCTCGGAGTGTTTTGCGGGAAAGTAGACGCACGGGCTTTTTTTAGAGTGATAGGTGTCGGGAAACCCGCTTGGGAATTTCTTGTATCGGGCGGTCGCGGCGAGCGGTCGCTGAGAAGGGGCGGATCCAAAGGACCTCCTGCACGGGGCCCCATGATTTAAAGAAAAAAAAAAAAAAAAAGAGGGGGGGGGAGGTATGTAGAGGGAAGGCTCATAGCATGTCCGTTTAGCCATAAAACCCCGCTGCACACCTCACTGCGTGTTGGGTCTCTGTTAAAACGCATGCATAAATGGCAGAGAGGGGTCTTTATTGTTCAGCCACATGAAGTGTCGTATACATCAAGACCTGATTGCGATATCTCCCGCTTCAAAGCGGGAGATGACGGAACTTTAATTTAATTTTGTGCCCATTTTGCACTATCGTTTGCAGTCATTTCAGCGTTAGAATACGTCAGTAGATCTATGCTGTTTTTTTTCCTGTAACACAATGTGGCTATCGGTGGCCCTGCTTTCACGTTTAGGAATAACTGCATCACTATGCATACTTTTTCCAGCGGTGTAATAAAATGTTATTACTCAGTTAGAACAAAGTAATGTATGGTTCAGCTCGTGTCTCAGAGCAAATTCTTACCCTGCGCAGGCTGGACGAACTATTGCAAAGATGTTGGCTACTTTTACAACGTAAATTATATTTACCTTCATTGTTTTCGGTATCTTTTGTCCGAGCACAAATGGGTGTCTGTCTCGATGGCTTCGTTTGCCACACGAACACGCTATTTGACGCTTTCAGCGACCATTGTTTCGTTTGGTTCACTTTTCCGATTCGGATGTGACATTACCTGATACAGTCTGGCAGACAAGCTGCCTCACCACTTGGAGCTCGGGCAAAACTTGTGCCAATAAATTGCCGGCACACACGCTTAAAAAGGGTCACACAAACAGCTTGCACCCACCAGCCTTTGACCACGCGAACGCCCTTGCCGAAGATATGGCAAAATATTCTGCCTGGAAATGACCATCCGAATTAGCCATAAAACTCTCTAATATTTACAGCTATTTAGCACTGACGAGTGACAAAAAGTATAACGCAAAGCAGTTAAAAAAAAAACTAGAATAGTAATACACCGTGCTTACAAAGAAGCAATCAGCCGGGTACAAATTCAAGAAGAGCAACGCTTGGCAGATCAAAGCTTTCATTTGCACTGTTTCAAGACAAATGATGTTCATGTCAGGCAAAGTTACAATCACGTTGTTGTACTAATGCAAGGAGCCATTGGGGTGCAGATGAGATCTTCGTACTCGATAAAACTTAAATATACCAATACTCTTTCACCAAATTTAATTTCTTGAATAATAGAACTGTGGCATTGGTTATAAAACCAATATCAAAAACAAAGCACGTTGGTAAAACAACAACAATGACAGCGATGTGAACAAACTAAAGTTCGCAGGCCTACAGGCAACGAAAAACCAAAAAAACATTCGCAAACAAAATATTTTTATGCCCAAACATATAAAACACCCGACCTACAACCCTCCGGATTTCTTCCCGTATAGTAGATGGCAGATGTTACTGCGCTGTCGCTATCGCAGATCGCAGTCCGTCTTAAGCCTGGACGTTAGTTTCCGCGTCCCTGCGGACGACTACCTCGTACAGGTCGTTCCTTCTATGTTTGACGCGGGACATCTGGTTCCTCATTAAATCCAGATAATCTATATCGACATCAGCAAGCACAATCTCTTCACCAGCCCCAGCCGACCGGACCACTTTACCTAGGGGATCTACCAGCATGCTGTGTCCCCAAAAGACGTAATAGGCCGTTTCGTCCCTCGAGGGCGACACGGACGCCACGTAGACCTGGTTGTCGGTCGCCCTAGCCCTCGAATAAAGCTCCCAGAACAGCGGACCGTTGTACATGTTGAACGCTCCCGGATACACCAGCAACTTGCAGCCGAGCCGCTCGTACAGCTCGGCAAAGGTCGGAAACGCGATGTCGTAGCATACGGCGATGCCCACTTTGCAGAACGGTGTGTCGAAGGTGGTCACTTTGTCGCCCGGTGCCATGAAGCCCGTCTCGCTGAAGACGACTTTGCTGGGGACGTTGGTCGAGTAGAGGTGTACCTTGCGGTGCTTGGCCAGCAGCGCACCGTCCGGTCCGTAGACCAAGCAGGTGCTGTAGGTTTTGTCATTCTCCCTCTCCGACATTGTTCCGCCGATGAGGTAGACCTGGTTTTTACTGGCCCAACTTGACAGCATCTCGCTGGTCCTACCGGGAATCGGCTCGGCGTACTTTGTTATGTACTTCGGCTCGTACGGAAAGCTGAAGAATTCAGGAAGGCAGACCATCTTCGCTCCC